AGTTCTCAAACTGGGCACGAGCAGTTTACTGAAAAGTCAGTCAACAGCCTCCAACCCTCTGTGTGTCCACAAGGGGAGGGTGACAGTCACAGAGGTGTCGACACCTGGTGACGGCCCCTCGCTGCGGCAGTGGGGCAGCCCCTCTGCTCAAACCAAGCACAGTTTTAATGAAACCGTTCTGTGCTTTCTTTTGAAACGTTTTCAAGTATCAGAGTATTTTAGGGTTTTTTTTCCAATTATAAATAAATAGGTTTACTGTAAACATTTTGGGGAAATTTTTTGTTAGTGTTAACCCCATTCCCTCAAAGATAGCCATTCTGTCGTTGGTTTGGAATAAGGAGCGGTGTGATGTGTGTGTGCTTTTTCCTGTAGTGGCATTGCAGTATGGTTAGATGTTCCCTCTTTGAATACAACTCTACATAATTCTTTAAATACTTTCCTCTTCAAATGCAGCTCTTATTTTAGCAGTTCTTCAGTATATTTTGTATTATCATAAATAGTCTGCCTTCTCTTTATGTTTGGGACTGGAATCTGGGGCCTGTGCTTCCTTCCCCACCTGTCGGTCCAGTGAAGTCCGTGAGGCGAATGTTCCTTTCCTGTTGACTTCCGTGTTGCGCAGCCTCCCTGCCCCTGCCCGGGGCACGGTCACTCTGCATTTCCTTAGAGCCTGGTCGCATCGCTTTTTCGTGAACACGCAAAGACACGGAGCAAAGCTGGCAGAATACCCTCAGGAATTTCACTCCATTACCTACACTTACATGGTCTTTTTTTTAAAAAGGACATTTTTTCATTTTTTATTCATTTTTAAAAAGATTTTATTTATTTATTTTTATACTGAGGGGAAAGGAGGGAGAAAGGGAGAGAAACATCAGTGTGTGGTTGTCTCTCACGTGCCCCCACCAGGGATCTGGCCTGCAACCCAGGCACATGCCCTGACTGGGAATCGAACCAGCAACCCTGTGGTTTGCAGGCTTGGCACTCAATCCACTGAGCCACACCAGCCAGGGCAGAATTTCTGTTTTAAAAGCATTTATTGTGAGCTCTTCTCCATATAGCAAGCAGCTAGCATGGGCCTTTAGACTGTCACTTGGGTCAGGTCACTCCTCTGCCTTGCGTCTCACTGAGATTCAGCGCCCAAGGCTCAGCAGGCTTCGAGGCCCTCTGTTACGTGCCGTGTCTTCTGGCCGCCCCCCTGGCCTTGCCCGCCCCGCCACACTGGCTCTGTGCCGGTGCACTTTGCCCGTGCCCTGTGCCTCACACTCCAGCATGCGCCCGGCTTTCCTCGTCGGCCCCGGTGCCGCCCGAGGCACGCCCTGCCACTGGGAAACTGCCTTGTTTTCTCCGAGGTGCCAGCATTTATTTGTGAATTTGCTGTTTCCCAGAGCTTTCTTCATTAGAATATAAGCACAAATAAGGGCAGAAACCTTTTGTTCTTTGCTGTGTCCTCAGTGCCTAGAACAGTGTCTGGAATACAGTAGATGGCTAATAATTTTTCTGATATTCTTATATTGGGAGGTCAGAACAAAGTAAGATTTGTAGCTATTATACTATTAGGGAGTGATCAGTACTCCTTGAAATTTTTTTTCTGCCCATTTTGGGATAAATTCAAGGTAATTTTTATTTCTAAATTATAGTCAGTGGCCAGTTAGCCTAGTACTGTCAACCAAGCCAAGACTGTGGTGGCATTTCCATGTGAGCCCGCTGCGTTCGAAGCCAGAGGGGCACACCTTCGCTCGCGCTGGGAGGGGGCCTCCGTGGGGGCCAGGAAGCCTGTAGGCTTCGCCAGCCGCCCGGCGCCTTCAGCCTCTCTCTCCGCAGTTCGCGCTGTGTGGGCCGCGGTAGCCTTTGAAGTCCCGTCTCCTCCTCCTCTAACGTGTGAGTATCCTTCCCATTTGTGATCTTACAGGAAATATGCTGACGGCAACAGGTTCCATGCTCCTGGGGCAGAACAAGCGATGACCTGATAATTACTAGAGTTTTTATTGTATACACTCGTACTAAGCTAAAAAACTATAAATAGTCCCAAAATTTCTGATAGCTTTACTAGAAGTGCTTCCAAAAAGTGTTCATTTGTGAGCCTGAGTCGAGTCTTTCGCCTCAGTGAGCTGTTGTCATCTGGACGGGTGGAGAGGCTTGGAGCCTCCGTGAGAACGCGTCCCGGGTCCCGGCACGGGCGGTGTGCTCCTGCTGGAGGCTCGGCCGTGCTGGGTGACTGACACGGCACCTGCCACACCACGGTGCGGCGTCGGTGTCGGTGAGACCGCAGGTTCCCAGGGCACTCCCGCTGGCACCGTAAGCGCACAGCACACTTGGCTGACTGTGTGTCGCCTGGAGCGAGCTCAGTCTGTGCTCCGTGAACTGGGCCGCTGTGCCCCTGGGATGATCTGTTGGTGCGCTTTTCCTGGTTCTCAGGGGGAAGAGTATAGCTCGGTAGGTACAGTTTCCTCCGATTAAAATTTTTTGTTCCATGGTTTTTAATTCTTCAGTCCTCACTGGAGAACATGTTTATTGATTTTAGAGGGAGGGAGAGAGGGAGGAACATCCATGAGAGAAACATCGATCGATTGCCTCCTGCATGTGCCCAACCAGGGATCAAACCCACAAGCTTTCGGTGTATGGAACAACACCCTAATCATCTGAGCCATCCAGCCAGGGCTCTTCCATACTTTTTCTTAAAATTTTGGCATCTGTCCTTTGCTCCAACAGCCAATGAAGTGAATGAATAAGTAATTTGGAATGGTAGTACTCACGCTGGTGCTTGCATCAGAATCACCTCGGGGGGCTCAGTAAACCAGATTGCTGGATCTGGCTTCGGGTTTCTGCTTTTTGTCTCTGAGTGGGAATCTGGGTTGGGACTTAAGGATTCTCTGAGGAGCGGGGACTCTATTTTTTGTGTCTCTTAACTCTTCCTAAAGCCACCTTGCTCTTTTCCATTCCATGTGTTACCATTGAAGAAGATAAGGACTCCTAAGAGTCTCAAAAGCCCATTTTGTAGTCATTATCCATAAGCTGTGTGTTACATGTGGGCATCCTTGAGATGGACTTGCTAAAGGACCAAAGCCCTGTGCCTCTCCTTGTTCTTTCTGAGTGGGGACGCAGAGCTAGGGAGTGCAGCAGAAGGCGCAGAGGGAGGGGGCCGGGGCTCGGGTCTGCGCCTGCGCCTGCGCGGGAGCTCCTCTCGCTGCCTGTGAGAGCACTGGCGTCTTGAGAGGGTTTGAAGAGGCCAGGTTATAACTTTAATGTGCAGTTTAAGAAAATAACAGAGTACAGTTTCTGTTAGGTGGTTTAGACTGCAACCTTATTTATTTACTCTTGCATCAGTCTAGTGGCTCTGATCTACTTTGTACTGTGCCAGATACGAGGGTTAGAGAGAAGAAAAATAAATTCTTGACCTCAGGACCTGCCAGTCCATTAAAGAAGCAGGCAGACCGGGACTGCACAGTGACACAAGGGCTGTCGCCTCCGCTTTAGAGTAGGGGTGTCTCCCTGGGTTTGGCAGTGAGGGTCGGGGAAGACTTCCTGGTCACGAGGGGATTTGCGTTCCAGGCGCGGGAGAGAGGAAGGGCGTCCTGGGGCACGGCCGCTTTCCCTCAAGCTTCCTCTGCTTCAAAAGCACACTGCTCGTGCGCTCCGCGCCTTTTCTTCTGAGTGTAAATAGAGGACATTTGATCGCCAATAGGAAGTCTCATATTTAATTTGAGGAGGTGTAATACTTGAAAAATCTTTAATCTATAACTGATGTATCAATAGTTTTACTCACCCTTTCCTATATTTTAAGGAGCACTACTTTTCTGGATTTAGTGAAGCCTGTAAGAAGTAGCAAAAGATAGGTACAATAGAAGTTGAATGCTAATTGAATTTAAATAGTAAGGGAACCGGGAGAAAAGTACATGATGAAGAATAATTGCACAAGTATCCTTAATATTGATCAGATATATATATATATATATTTTTACCTAAGCATATCATTCACACATTTCATCCCACTGTGAATTAACACAAAATTCCTGTCACAGGAAAGCAGTCTGAAGTCAAGTAAAAATTAATGTTTCATATTTGTGTTGGTTATCATTACAGACATGTCCAGTTCGACATTTTTCTTGGAGTACTTCAGAATAACTTATCATTTGTACTTTTCTGTGTGTTTGTATAAAGCAGGGGATATCAACTTTGTCATGTGTCCTGAGAGACCCGAGGGCATGAGCGCTGGGTCCTCACGATTGTGCTATTGGCTGGTGGTGCGGCCTCGGTCATGTCACCTCTCTGGCCTCAGTTCCGCCTGCACGTGGGAGGGCCCGTACCAGGGTCCTACAGGTCCTTAGCGCCAAAGGTTTGTTTTCCTAGAGCCTTTTTAGTTTGACTTACACTAAAAACATAATTTTATAATGAACTGATATCATGGACATTTTTTTTCCTTAATCCATTACCAACAAACATGATGACTTCCAAAGGTCTTTGTAAAGTACAGGCATCCCTCACTGTCCAAATCATTCAATTCCCAAATTCAGCTCATTCAAATTCATATGGTGAAAGATGCCTCTACATTAGCGAATGTAGCAGCCTCTCAGTTTGTGTTGCCATTGCAAAGGAACACTAAGGAAGATGTGTTATGATGGGCGATATTTGGATATTGATAGGACACACTGAATACCTTGAATGACAAAAAGGTGACAAACTGTTGTAGACAAGAGATAACATAATGAGGAGCAAAGGTGATTCTTACTGATAACTGAAGGATAAGTGTTTATCGAGTACTTGCTGTTTACCAGTTGCTATTCAAAGCACCAGCAATGAGAAAGTCCCCCATCAGGGCCTGGGGTCATTGCAGACCTCAGCATGATCGGGATGGCTGGGGAGCCCAGATAGTCTCTAAAGAGTGGAAACATTAATGACTAAGTTACTTTTAATACTCTGTATCTTTCTCAAGGGTCTGTGTAGCATGGTCTTTTATGTATTGACCTCCCCGTTTTGTTTTGTTTTTCATATTTTGTTTCTGTTAGGAGAGAACATTGAAATTATTCTCTAAGCTATTTGAAGAGAGTGACTAAATGCACCTGGGTCAGGCTGTCTGTGGGTATGAAGTGGTTGGGAGAATCCAAGAACATGGTGGTGAATGGCAGGAGGAGTGGAGGCAAGTTGTCTAATGACCACCCGCAGAACCAATCAAAAGCACAGCACACGGGGAAGGACGCCGTGAAGGCTGGCAGAAGCGCGGTGGAGAGGCGGTCGAGCAGATGTATGTACACACTCAACCTGTCGCTCTTTTGACTGTGGTGCGGGCAGTGGTTCCCTCCCGTTTGTGATGTGTTCTGTTCTCTGCTGTTCTCGAAACAGTTACCTGTGTTCTCGCAGTTAACAGTATAGTTGTTTCACTCTTTCATAGCTATATATGTTTTTATTCTCATCAAGCATTGTGTACAACTTCAGTTTAATGCTTAATATAATAACTTCAATCATGCTTTTTATGTCCATGGTTTCTACAAAATTATAGTTTGTAGAAGTTATACCTAAATGGTTAATCTGTTCTGTAAAAAATTACAATAACTGCTACTGAACTGAATTTCTTAGTTCATACTGTATTTTTTATATTTGATTTAAGTATAAGTATGTATGTCTTTAAAAACTTATAATGATATGAATAATAAGATCAACTCTAAATTGTATGTTAAGTGGAATTTAGGCCAGCTTCACAGACTGTTACTACTTCTGTTTATGTAGGGTGAGGCTCTACTGATATTAAGTTACTTTTTTATCTCTACACCTTGGTAAGAACAAAACTACTTGTTGAGATTTCTGAGAAATTGTAGAGTTGATACATGTTTCATAGTTCTTTAAAGAGTAGTAAATTGCCATAGGATAAATTTAAACTTAAGTAGACAGCCATATGAAGATTGTCCAAAAGTATGTTAAGGAGTTCAACTTTTTCTATTGATATTTCTTGATTTTGCTAAGGTTAATTTAGCCACTGCTGAATGGCCTTAGTTTGTGTCGGAATCCGCCTGCTCCCTGTGCACTGGGTTCGCCTGGGGCGTGCTGCAGTTTCAGGTAGATTGCCCCAGTCCGATTCATTTCGTTCTTTCCTTAGGGGTTTATGCAGTTCGCTGCCCTTACCTTTCCATACCCGATCAGGTCACTGTTTCTGTAGAGAAACAGGCAGAAATTCCTACCTCGGTTAAGAGTGGAGGGAGAGTCCAAGACTGAATGTATTCTCTTCTGCACGGACACCTCCTCGCCTCTTAGCCTGTGACACAAGCCTGATGGAGCTGAGAAACGCAGTGACTGGAGCAGTGGTGTCACTCTGTTCAGTGAGTTAGGTGTCGCTTAGACTTTTTAAAAGCAACTTGTTATTGGCCTCCTTTTGTACATCACGGTGCAAAAGGCCCTCATTGGTTTGATTGTTGGAGGTGCATAAGAATCTAGAAAATGACCACTATGTGTGCTGCACTTTGCGAAGTGTAGACAGATGTAGAGGGATAGGTTGGAAGAGCCCAGAGAGTGTGAAGACGGACAGCATCACGTTGAATGTTGCTGGCGCAGAAACAGCCAATGATGAAGAGAAGCACAGCAGTGCTCCATCGAGATAAACTGCAGTGACTTCACCTGACATCACAGCCACAAAATACATGAAGCAGAAACTGACCAAATTGAGGGGAGAAGTAGAGAACTCAACAATAGTTTGAAGACTCCAATAACTTGCTGTCAATGATGTATAGAGCAAGGAGAGAAGACAAACCAATTCTCACCGACAGGCACTTCAGAACACTCCGCCCAACAACAGCAGTCTGTACGTTCTTTTCAGGTGCACATGAGCGTTTTCAGGACAGACTGTAGGGCAGGCCGTAAAGCAACCCTCAGTAAATTTACAAGGATTGAAGTCTTACATTATATGTTCTCTGATGAAAATGGTGTAAAATTAGAAATGAATAATAGAAATTTGGGAAATTTACAAATATGTGGAAATTAACACACTCCTAATTAACCAATGGGTTAAAGAAGAAATCGAAAGGGAAGTGAGAAAATACTTGTACATGATTGAAAATAGGATACCACATATTAAAATTAATGGGGTGTAGGTAAAGCATTGCCTAGAGGGAAATTTGTAGCTGTGAACAACTATATTTAAAAAAGAAGAAAGATCTCAAGTCAGTAACTAACTTTTTAGCTAAAACAAGAGAAAAAGAAAAGCAAGCAGAAGGAAGTAATGAAGTGAAATTAACAAAGTAAGGAATAGAAAGATGGTAGAGATAATCAACAAAGGTAAAAGCTGTTCTTTGAAAAGATCAACAAAATTGGCATATCTTTAAGCAAGGCTGACCAAAAAAAAGAGAAGAATCAAGAATGAAAAAGATGTTATTATCTCAAAAAATAAAAAGAATTATAACAATATTATGAACAACTGTATACCAACAAATTAGATAACTTAGTTTAATCCAAAAAATTCCAAGAAAGTAACAAACTGCCAAAACTGAATCTAGAAGAAATACAAAATAACACTACCTACAAGAAAATCTCAGGCCCAGATGGCTTCATCGGTAAATACTGGCAGGTGTTTAAAGAAGAATTAATACCAGTTCTTCATAGATGGTTCCCAGAAAATGGAAGGGAATGCTTGCTGGTTCATTCAATGAGGCCAGCATTACCCTGCCACCGAAATCCTCAGCAAATACTATAAACCATATCAGCCAACAGATTCTGTAGCATGACAAAGTGGGATTTATCCCAGGAATCCAGGGTTGATTTAATGCCTTTAATACACTGTAATTAATTAATACACTACATCAAGAGAATGAAGGACTAAAGCCATACAATGATCCCAATAAATCATTTGGCCAAAGTCTTAATACCCTTTCAGGAAAAAAACATTCAATAAACAAGGAATAGAAGGAAAGATAAAGGATGTCTATGAAAACCCCATCACACCTGATGTCACATTTAATGGTGAAATACTAAATGGTTCTCCCCAAGATCAGGAACAAGACACAAAATCCATTCTCACCAATCCTATTCAGCATTGTGCTTACAGGTTCTAACCACGGCAGCTAGGCAAGAAAATGAACTAAAAAGCATCCAGATCAGGAAGGAAAAGATAAAACAGTCTCTCTTTGCAGATGACACGATTGTGTATCTAGAAAATCCCAAGGAATCCACTAAAAAACTATTAGAACTAATCAGGTTCCGCAAGGTTGCAGGATACAAAAATCAGTTGCAATTCTGTATACTTTCAATGAACAATTCAAAGTTGAAACAGTTTTATTTACAGTGGTGTAAAATATAGCATCAAGTTTAACAATAAAAGTAATACTTATACTCTACAAACTACAAAACATTGTTGAACTAAGTTTAAAAAGACCTAAATAGATAGACATCACATATGCATGGATTAGAAGATTTACTACTGTTAAAATGGCAGTACTCCCCAAATGATCTTCAGATTGAATGCATTTCCTATCAAAATCTCAACTGGCCTCTTTGCAGAAATTGAGGGGCTCATCTGAAAATTCTTATGTAAATTTAAGGAACCCAGATTAAAACAATCTGGGGAAAAAAGGACTCTCAGTCATCAGAAAAACGCAAATTAAAACCATAGGATACCACTTCACAACCACTAGGATATATATAGAATTAAAAGGACAGACAGTAACAAGTATTGGTGATGATGTGGAGAAATTAGAACCCCCATACACTGCTGTTGGAAATGTAAAATGGTGCATCTACTTTGAAGAATGGTCTGGCAGTTCCTCAGAAGGATAAGCATGGAGTTTCCATATGACCTAACAATTCCACTCCTAAGAGAATTGAAAGCATATGTACACACAAAAACTTGTATATAAATGTTCATAGAAACATTATTCATAAAAGCAAAAAAGTGGAAACAGGCCAATTGTCCATCAACTAATGAATAAGCAAATGTGGTATATGCATACAGTGGAATATTATTTGGCCATACTAGGAATGAACTTGGATGAACCTTGGAAACTCTATGCTAATTGAAAGAAGCCTGTCGCAAAGGCCACATATGGTATGATTCTGTCTATTTGCAATTTTCAAACTAGGCAAATCTGTAGAAACAGAAACTAGATTGGTGGTTGGTTGCCAGGGGCTGGGAGGGAAAAACAGGTAGTGACTACTAATGGCTGTGGGGTTTCTTTGGGGAGTGATGAAATGTTCCAAAATTGATTGTGGTGATGTTACACAATTACGTGAATGTTTTAAAAAACCTTTGAATTGTACACTTGAAATGGGTGAATTGTATGGTATGTGAGTTATAGTTCAATAAAGCTGTTACAGAAAATACAGTGATGTGATAGCTTTTCACATACCTATATGCTTAGTATGAGTGTTTTAATTTTTTTTTTTGAAAGAGTAGATGAAAAGGAGGTTACACCTCTTACTGTGTCTCCTGTTCTTTCACATAGTATTTGGGTTGACCAAACAAAAAGTCCATTTAATTTTTTCTGTAAAGTAAAAGACACTTTTTTTTATTTTTTATAAATAACTTTATTGATTGGAATATTTTGAGTATGTCAGCTGTCTCCCACATGGTGTAACATGGATAGTTCTCAGTGAATGTTTCTGTTTGATCACTGTCAACTTCAACTGGTCTACCTGACCATGGAGCATCATCGAGCGAGAAATCTCCAGCATGAAACTTCACAAACCACTTTTGACATGTTTGATCAGTCACAGCACCTTTTCCGTATACTGCACAAATCTTTTTTTGCATTTCAGTTGTGTTTTTTACCTTTCTTGAAATAATAAAGCATAATATGCTGAAAATGTTGCATATTTTCGTCCATCTTCAGTATTAAAATGGCTATACAAAAATTCACCAATTTTGGTGTTCTTTTTTAAAAAGTTTTATTTATTTTTATTTTTTTTTAAAGAAACATTTTTAAAGATTTTATTTATTTATTTTTAGAGAGAGAAGGAAGAGAGAGAGAGAGAGAGAAACATCAATGTGCAGTTGCTGGGGGTCATGGCCTGCAACCCAGGCATGTACCCTGACTGGGAATCGAACCTGTGACACTTGGGTTCACAGCCCGTGCTCAGTCCACTGAGCTACACCAGCCAGGGAAAATTTTATTTATTTTTAGAGAGAGGGGAAAGGAAAGAGGGAGAGAAATATCAATGCATGATTGCCTCTCGAGTGCCCCCCACTGGGGACCTGGCCTGTAACCCAGGCATGTACCCTGACTGGAAATCGAACCAGCGATGCCTTGATTCACAGGCCAGTGCTCAAGCCACTGAGCCACACCAGCCAGGGCCAGGTGTTCTTTTTTTAAATGCATGCTGATATCACAGGTGTCACAATACAGTCTAACAAAATTGTTTCGAATGAATTTAAAGACAACTGAGTGCTACTACAGCCATCTTATGGAAGAAAACGAAACAAACTTTTTGGCCTGTTTTGCAAGGCTTAAAGTTACGCTGGTGGTGTCGCTGTCTGCTGCTGAGACCATCAGTGACAAAGACACCCGACACTGACGAAACTTCGTGCATACAGATTTGGTTTTCCTCTCCTCTTTTTACATTTTTTTCCCACAATTAAACCCAAGAACTTGAGTCACCTTTCCTGTTTTTATCCAATCACTCAATTTTCTAAAGAGAGGTCAGTTGGAAATAGGCCTGCATTCTCTCTTCTCTTCTTTCCCCACCTCTACTACCTACATCTGTAATGATGGGCAAGTTTCTTAACCTCTGGGCCTGTTACCAGCAAAAGGGAGGTAGTAATCACTCATCAGACCAAAGGCAGGAAGATGGAGTCAGCTCCTCTCGACTCCTTTTGGTCCTTACCTTCTACCCTCCTGGCACTCGCTGCAGAGAGTATCTTATGCTCCTTCTTGGCCCAGCCCTGTCTCTAACGACCTTTGGTGCTCTCTTGCTTCCTTAACGAACATCTACCTTCCCTGTTTCTCACCTCCTCGTGAGAGGGGCAAGGCATCGGAGCCAGAGGCTCATCCTCCCCTTGGGAAAGCTGGTACTGGCTGCTAACCAGAACACTCAGTGGTGGGCTAGTTTACTGCGCTTGGTTTTGTGCTCATTCAACTAGTACTCCACCCTCCGCTCTTAAAGTCGATTGAGATCATTTCAGTTCTTGATGATTAGCTTGAACGGGCAACGGTTATTTTACGGTAGATTTTAGTAGCTTTCAGTTTAAGTTACTTTTTCTTTCTCTTTTCACAGGTAATGGTAATTCAGGATTCGAGGGACAGAGTCGATATGTACCATCTTCTGGAATGTCCGCCAAGGAACTCTGTGAAAATGATGACCTAGCGACCAGTTTGGTTCTTGATCCCTATTTAGGTTTTCAAACACACAAAATGAATACTAGGTAATTTTAAGCCTTTGTCCTGAATGAAACAGATGATGTTGAATTTAAGGAAAGAGATGGCTAATTTTACTTTCAGTCAAAATTTTAAAGTAATGTTAAAGGAAAGTTCTTTCCTACAGAAAGATTTTTCTGTATGTGAGCTAAGAAAAGCAACGAAAGCTTATGAAAGTCTTGTCAGTTTTAACTCTGTGTTCTTGTTTTATCTCAGGATATTTCTGTTAAAATATATATAAGGCTGGGGGACCACCTCTATATCCTATTTTAAACACTGATGATAATTAGCCAAAAGAAAAATCTTAACAGGCATCCTATAAAACCTTAAAAATGTATATGGGTTTTTCCCCTGCTAAAAGTAGGTTGCGTTAGTTTTTTTCATGGCTTTATTAAAAACTTGAATAATTGCTTCTGTACATAGGTAATTCTGCCATCTGTTTTAATATTTGAGATGCAGCTAAGGATTCAGCTAGGTAGGATTCAGCTAAGTAAGAGTGAATGATTTTAAAGATGTGTGCTTACCTGCAGTGTGCAGATGAGAAATTAGCTGTACAAGTGCTTTATTGAGTATCAGGCGTCATCTACATAAACTGTCACTCTATTGCTCTTGAAATTTGTCATCCTTTGAATTTCTCTGTTTTAATTCCCTTAAATTTTATCTCTCAAATTCCATGGCAGAGGGTTTCCAAGTCTGGTGGGAAAAGCACAGGGATTTAGAATGTAGAGCGAGTTCTGGGCCAATGTCCACTCTTACCCCTGCCATCCTAGCTCTGGTGTTCAGTAGCTCCGGTGCCAGTGACTGGCCCTGGGGGACTTGATCGCCAGGTGGGCCCTCGTTGGTAATTAGTTGAGTAATTTTATTCAGCAGGAATTGGTGAGTAAAAGTGATTAGGGGAAAATCTTGTGTTCATCATTTTCCCTTTTAATTCTGTTTCTTGCTAGAATTAAAGCAAGATACTGTGTTAGCATTTATCAGTACATTCTAAATCCAGAAAGAAGAAATTTGGGTAAAAATGTGCCTTTGGTATTTCTGTGTCATCTCTTGTCACCCCGTGTCCTTACTTACTAAAATGAAGGGAGGAGCGGGGATAGGCTTGGGAGGCCCTTTAAACGGCTCCCTTTCTCCAGAGGGGCGAGCGCCCACAGTTTCTGACCAGGCAGGCCGGTGGCTGTGCCCTGCGAGCCCGCAGAGTCGGATGCCCTTGTGTGCAAGTGAAGTCTCGTTTGCCTTGTTTTCAGTCCGCTTCCCTGTCCCCCCAGGGAACATGCGGGACCAAGGCTCATGCTCTGGAGGGTCCTGGTAGCCTGTGAGGCACCCTTTCGGCCTTATTTTATCCTAAGAAATGTGAATCGCTGATTCACAGACATTCTAATGGCATTCAAGATATTACCACACAGGCCCCTAATTATGACCTGGACTCATCAAGAAAGAGATTATGTTCATTAAGCCTTATGTATACTGAAATATGGAAGCATATAAACCATTTTAGAAAGCGTTCCATCAAAATTACAAAACGTTTTTAGTGGCTGAGGAAAGAAATCGGCGTGTTCAGTATCTGCACGCTTTGTTCCAGAGGATGAAGGGTGGTCGCCTGTTACTATCTTCTGCTACGGGAAGTAACTCCTGTTTTCTATAAAAATCCTCTTAGACAACTGCTTCTCCTAGTTTCTAGGAGTCACCTGGGGAATCTTGTTAGGGTGCACACTCAGCTTTGGGAGAGGCCTGGGAGCCTCCGTTCCTGACACGCCCGGACCACGCTCTCAGGAGCAGGGTCCCATGCGCCAGGCTGCCGCACCTCCTCGAGGCGTGAGCAGTGGATTAGAAGCGCTTTACCAGTAGTTTCTTGGGGCTCACTTAAAAACGTGTGTCTTTAAATGGTAAAGTTTAGGATTGCCACACCAATATTAAAACTCAGAATGTTACTGTATCTAGGTACCCTCAATTAAAATGTATTCAGTGCATAAAAATTTTTGTGAATAGAAATTGAAGGATCTAAAATGAAAACTGGTTCAACCTGGTTAAACATGCAGCGGACATACTTGAAAATAAAACTGTATCCATTCTAGTTCATCTTTTGAGCACGAATTGACCAGAATGTTGGCTTATATCATGTTCAAAGATACTATTTTATGGAAAATCTATAGTGGTTTATTTGAATAAACCATAAATATCTCTAAAATTGTTAGCTTGTAGACTTCTCTGTCTTTGGGATGCAAATGAAGTGACTGGAAAGTAGGATTAGAGCTTGTGTGTTTATACTCCAGGCTAGTACTTGTCCAATGGTCTCTTTGTTCTCAGGTTTGTACATCTGTAATTTGACTGTCAGTTGTTAGTTTCTCTTTTTTATACTTTCTTCCCCTCCTTTCAGCTTCTTTCAGTGTACTGTGTTGAGAAACAGAAAAGTTTAATAATTTGAGAATTTCCTAAACTAGCTATATTATGAGTACTCATGTTTTAATCTTAAAATATCCCTAATTGACTAACAAGTAGGTCAGAGTTATAGCATGAATACCTAGAAATAGTGTAAACAAAACAGTAATTTCAGTCTGTTGGGAAATACTTAGACCTCGTTGACTTGTCAGTTATGAAACTTAAATTTTTCCTTTTAGCCGGAGAAGAGAGGTATTAGTAATACCTCTGCTTTTTAAAAAATCAGAGTAGGGCAGTGGGTGTTGCAAAGCCAGGGCGGGTGCCCCTTGTTCAGGCTCCAGAACCCCAAGATCTGACAGTGTCGTGGGGAGCCGGGGGGTCTCTGGTGAGCAGAGTGGGAATAACGTTGCAGAGACACACGGAGTCGTCTCGTCTCAGGGCACTTTTTCTTCGGAGCCCCTCTGGGCTTTGCTGGCCTGCACGTCAGGTGCGCAGTCCTTCCTCGTCCTCCCCCCTCGGCAGCCATCTCATCTCATTTCACTTACGGATTTGATTATGCACGTCCGTGTTGGGTGTGAATTTATAAACCACTGCAAATGCCACTTTGAAATCAAGTGCTTGACCAGAAAGCCTGCAGAGGTTCTTAGGCCCTCTGACTCCCCGTAACGAGGGTAGAATGATGTCACGGGGGAGGGGAGTGCGTCCTGGCGTTCACCGTGCTGAGACTGCCCGCGGCGTCGTGGGGTTCTGGGATTTCAGTGTTTTAAGGGTTTCTGCTGCAGCTAATACTGTAAGTCTGTTTAGAGATTGCAAGTACAGATTGTACAAATAGTTTTTCATTGTTGTTTGTTTTTGCATTTATATAGCGCCTTTCCTTCGAGGAGCTCAAGGCATTTTTCAAAATCTGACAGTTTTCCTCACAACCACCCTGTGAGGTAGGTAGAGTGCATTACAAACAGTAACAAGATGCCGCTAACCTGTCGCAGCCTTCATGATGTTCTTTTATGTTAAGTGTTGGAGGTGTCAGCATGAACATGAGTTTTAGACCATTTTTCGAACTTTTTAAAATAGTTTGGTCTTAGTCATAGCTGTATTTTAAAAAACCACTTGTACTCCATAACAGGGTAATTTTAAAAGAAATCTTTTCATGCAAAGATTGGGAGTCACTCCCTGGGATCAGCTGAGCGCTGGGTGCGGGACTCAGCCAGGTGTGTTTCTGGTTGTTGTCTGTTTCCAGGTGGCGAAGGCACGAAGAGCTGCGGCTGTAGCACGCCGCTGCTGCCGCCTCCCAGCACCTGCCCAGCCCTCAGCTTGCCGTTGACCTTTCTGAATCAAAGGGGGAAATGTGTTCACAGTGTTGCCTCGTGGTTTCCTTATTTTATATCTTAAAGTATTTGAACATTTTTCTCTTCCTGTCCCCTTCCATTGCTCCCTTTTTTCTGCCCCTCCCTTCCCGTCCTCCCTTCCTCCAGTCAGCTCTTGGTTGTACATGCTAGTGGAAGGGACAGTAGTGCAGCTGATACAAATCTACAACCCTTCCTCCATGCCACAGTGGTCTCTTGGGTTTGGAAACAGAAAAACCAAATAGCAAGAAAACCTGGGAAGTCAGTCTCTGGAAAGAGTGGGGAACAGGTGTGTGGGGTGTGAATTCATATTTTTTTCTGTGCCTTTTAATAGTGAATGATTGTAAATGACATTTCTTTTAACTACTTTTTAATTTTTGGTTTATTTATTTTTAGACAGATGGGAAGGGAAGGACAAAGAGAGAGAAACATCAGTGTGTGGTTGCCTCTTGCACACACCCTACTGGGGACCTGGCCTGCAACCCAGGCCTGTGCCCTGACTGAGAATCAGACCTGTGACCCTTTGGTTTGCAGGCCGGTGCTCAGTCCACTGAGTCACACCAGCCAGGGATTTTCTTTCTACTTTAAAATCTTTAAAAACAAACAAACAAATATTTCTTTTTCTCCTCCCACAACTCTGATCAATAGCTGCTGTAAAAAATTTTTTTAGTGGGCTGGGGAGTAGTAGGGAGAAAATGGAGACAACTATACTTGAACAACATTATTATTATTTTTTTTATTTTCAGAGAGGTGAGGGAGAAAGAGGGAGAGAAACATCAATGTATGGTTGCCTCTTGAGTGCCCCCTACTGGGGACCTGGCCTGCAACCCAGGCATGTGACCTGACTGGGAATCAAACCGGCGACCCTCTGGTTCGCAGGGCAGTGCTCAATCCATTGAGCCACACCAGCCAGGTCAAAAAATATTTATTGAAAGTAGCAAATTTTTTGTTAAAGAGGGAGGGGGGTCCTACTTACTTGGAAATACCAGATGCCTGTTTTTCTTGCCTCCCTGCCACTCCAGCTCACCCCCAAAGGCCACACTTAAAAGTGTGTATTACTTTTCACGGTATTGTCAGAATACCACCAGCGCCTGGCTGGGCTCCAGGCTGGTGTTCCATGGCAGATGCAAGTCAGATCCTGTTCTAATGTCAAACGCCACCAGAGGGCCCTCCGAGTCCACCCAAGAGCAGGCTGGCGAAAGGCTTCCCTTCATTAGCCTTGTGAGCCTTCTTTCCTCATTTATGGAACCAGAGGGCTGTGTTTGATGGTCTAAATTTCCTTCTAGCTTTAAGAAGCATGGTGTAAGGACAGCTTTGTATAGTTTGTGTGGGAGATTCAGAGTGATTGGGATTAAGGAGAGGGCAGGGGGTGTCTTTCTACTCAATAATAGAAAATTATTTTATGTCCTGGCTGGTGTCACTCAGTGGATTGAGCGCCAGCCTGTGAATCAAAATGGCCAGGTCACAGGCCTGGGTTGCAGGCCGGGTCCCCAGTGGTGGGTGTGCAGGAGGCAGCCATCAGTGTTTCTCTCACACACTGATGTTTCTCCCTCCGTCTCCCCTCTCTCTAAAACTAAATATTTTTTTAAAAAAGAAAATTATTTTAATTTTGTCTGAGGTCTTTAGTGCCGTTTGCTCTGGCCCTAATAATTATAACAATCTTATGTTCTTACAAAATTTTTATTTCCCCACAATATTTGTTGTAATGGGATTTGACTTGAACTATCAGCCAGGTGATTTTGATGTAATTTTTTGTAGGATTATTGAAAACAGCCATCTACACCCAGAACCATTTTCTTCTTTCTTTGCCAGTCATTTCATGCCTATAGCAACCAACTGTGATGGGAAGTTTTGATAATCAGTTATATTTTAAGTGAAATAGAGGTTCTTTTTTTTTTTTAAGGAGGGTCTTAATTTCAACTATTCTACTTTTTTCTTTAAAAAAACCGTTTTCTTTAAAGATTTGTTTATGTATTTTTCAGAGAGGGGGGAGGAAAGGGAGAAAGAGGGAGAGAAACATCAGTATGTGGTTGCCTCTCATGTGGTCCCCACTAGGGACCTGGCCCACAACCCAGGCATGTGCCCTGACTGGGAATCGAACTGGCGACCCCCTGGTTTGCAGGCTGCACTCAATCCACTGAGCCACACCAGCCAGGGCTTTTTTTTCAATTGTTGTTCAAGTACAGTTTTTTGCCTTTTCCCCCTGAAATGGAGGTTCTTGCTAGTGGGTAGCAAGTAGCATTTTGGGGGATTTTGTTTTTGCTTGAGCTGATAGAAGTCAGGAAGGCAGAAACAAAAGTGAGCACAGGGAAGGTGGAAGGCAGAGAGCGTTAGCCAGGAGTTCATTATTTTGTGTCGGTTTTGGCATATAAATTGGCATCGAGAACAAAGAATAAACAAAGCTGAAAGGAGTTTGCAGATCGGAGGGGCAAGTTCCAGGAAGTGGAGAGCACTCACCGTGCCTGTAGGAGGAGCCTGTGTCTGGTCCACGTCTCTGCCCTGTGTTTCCACCGTGTTCTTAAAGCTCTGTGTGAATTTAGCCCTGACTCTGACTTGCTTGCTAGTGTGTTGAGCCATGTGATTATTTTAAAACAGTGAGTCACCACTGGTCAGTTCCACGTTGGACATACCGAGATTGCTTCGCTCTTTTTGTCATTTGCAGCCCTGCCACTAACATCGTGGATTGTACATTGTATTTGCTCAAATGAAGTATTGCTTTTCTGTTCACTGCACAAAACGTGGGCTCTCCTTTCCCCGCCATGCCCTGTCGCGTTGTGTGAAGTGGCATGCCTTAGCTGACACTGCTTGGCTGTCTTCTCTGCCCTTCATATGCAAATGATCCCTGTGCGGGCTCTCAGCAGGGAGGGTTTAAGAAACTCAGTCTTGACAAAATCACTTGGGATATCTGCAAGTAACTTAATGTTACAACTGTGGAAGTTCGGATACTTTCACAATTCTGCAAATTCTTAGATTATTTTAGTGGTGTTTCTCCAACACCACATCCTGACAGTCCTAGTTAAAGACATTCCGGTTGTTTACAGGGTTTCTGCTCAGCGGTCTGTCCGGCGGGTGTGCTAATTAACTGAAAATGGAATAAAATAAGGCCTTGTCATTTCTTCATGTGGTATCTCTGGGGTGTGTTCAAACTTTCACATGGTTCTGCTCAGTAGTTGTGAGGACTTACCGCAACTGGAGTCGGAGGCTAGTAAGTCCCCAGCGGCGTCAGCATGCGGGAACGAGTCTGAAGTCCCCCAGAGACCCCTCTTCCCGTTCCAGGGCTTTACTGTCGCCGCGCTGGAGCCCGCAGCCCGTTCCCCGTTCCTCTCGCCGAAAGGAGGCTCCTCTGCCTAAGTGCCCTCTCACTTCGCCTGCCCTCCTTTGATTCTTTCCTGCCTACAGTAATATTCTAGAAAGCCGAAGTCACAGCTCGCCTCACTGCCCATAACAGTCCCAACCGCAGACCCCTTCCCAAACAAATCTTCACTTCAGTTATAATTTCCATACTTTAAGTGCGCTATAGCAGAGTAGTTTGTACCATATTAACATACATTTGCATATCGAGGCCTTGCTTAACTGTTTGATGCATGTGTATGTCTTTTAGTCCAAATTAAATATTTCATTTAAGAGGTTTGGCCATCCCTGGCCAGGTGCTCAGTTGTTGGTTAGGGCATCGTCCCAATACACCAAGGTTGCCGGTTCTATCCTTGGTCAGGGCACACATTAGAACCAACCAGTGAATGCGTAGATAGGTGGAACAAAAATTGATGTCTGTCTCCCTCCCTCCCTCTCTCCCTTCCTCCCCCCTCCCTTCTCCCCCCCTTCCTCCTTCTCTAAAATCAATTGATACATTTTTTTAAGAGAGCAGTGGCCAGTCTGTCTCTTCTGTTTTTCACCATACCACCTGTGTGCACAGCACCTAGTTAATAATCCTTGGTGAAATGTTGTGACTTAAAATCTTACTGAAATGTTACAAATACATTTATGATAGCTTATCTAGAAGAAAAATTCTGCTTGAATGCTTACTTTCCTGGAGTTTATGCTAGATTTTATCTCAGCTTTAGCATTTTCACATTTATGAGGTATGCAATTTTAATTCTTAAGAGTTAAGAGGCATAGTTCAAATGTTTTTCTCCTTGGCCATTAATATTTTTTTAACTTATCTTTTTTAATAGCAGGCTGCAGTTCCTTTTTTGGTTGGATTTTTTAAAAAAACTTAATTTGGGAAAATAAACCAAATGAAACTGACATGAGCAAACATTTTTTAATTAAGATCCAAGTACCTTTAATTATAGTACGTGTTTTATGAGAACACAGCTCTAGAAAGAGGGGCCTGGAAACTTAAGTTTTACTTGGACCATGATTGTGTCCGTCATGTGTTATTTTATGACTGGAAAGACAGTATTCTGAAGTCGTTACAGTTGGTTTACACTAGAAGCTTTTTACAGTTCCGTGTCAGCAGTGTTTGCTGGCCCCGCCCGCACAGCGGCACCGCTGCTGGGGCCGCGTGGTTGCTGTCCACGTCCTCTGAACGCTGCGGCCAGGGAGCGGTCTGACCCGGTGTCGGAAACCCGGGTGGTCTCGAGGCCTGCTGGGGTGCTTGGTGTGGGGTACATTCTCTAACTGTACGCAGAGAATGTTTCATTAGCGGCGTGATTTTGTTTGCTTCTCATTCTTCTGAAGCTCATTGCCTGGCGCTCTTCTGGCTTGATTCTGCATGTTTGTTAAAAAATGTTGTCATTCTAACACGATTAGACAAGTGCTATTGTAGGTCTTTCACCTTGTACCCTCCATAGTAGATGACTAGTACAAGCCTGAATCAGTGCGCATTCGCTTGAGTCAGCAGTTAATGAGAAAACAGTGAAATTAAAATATTAAAATGAAGTTTGAAGAAAGAGAAGTTGTATTTCCTGGTGACCGATATTACTTGCATAGTAATTATCAAGATTATTGATCTCTTTTGTAATGTCTGGCAGTTTTTAGGTTAATTATCGCTTTCTCAAGATCTCTTAACAGTGTCCCAAGGATGATGGTAGGTAACTGGGGTTATTGTCTTGATTTTTTTTTCCAGATTTCGGCCTATTAAAGGAAGGCAAGAAGAACTAAAGGAAGTAATTGAACGTTTTAAGAAAGATGAGCACTTGGAGAAAGCTTTCAAATGTTTGACTTCAGGCGAATGGGCACGGCACTATTTTCTCAACAAGAACAAAATGCAGGAGAAATTATTCAAGGAACATGTAGGTTTATTAGTAAGATTAATACTATTTATCTGTTTGGATAAGAGTGAAGGAAACTAAAGCCTAAATTCTGGTGAACACTGAAACTTGAAATCTATGTTTTGGCCCTGACCAGCGTGGTTCGTTGGTTGGGCATCATCCTGCAGGGCGAAAGGTCACTGGTGCAATTTCCGGCCGGGCACGTGCCCGGGTTGTGGGTTTGGGCGTCTGTCAGGGCACATGTGAGATGTTTCTCACATCAGAGTTTCTCTCCCTCTCCCCCCAAATATAAATAAATAAGTTTTTTGTAAAACTAATCTTATGAAGATCCAGTAATATATAAGATTATTTGTGTGACTATACAAAGAGGAAACTTTATCATGTAGAAGTTAAGTTCTTTGTGAACTATTAGAATAACATAGCCAAGCCATTAGGTACTCACATATGTGAAATTTTAAAATACCAACAAAATTTGTTATTTGAGGATCTTAAATGTTTTTATGTTGTTGGTTGTGGTTTGCTTTTTAATTCCAAGAACGTCTAACAGAATAAACAATGTAAACTTAATGTTGAATGTTTTCTGTTTCAGGTGTTCATTTACTTGAGAATGTTTGCAACTGACAGTGGATTTGAAATACTACCCTGCAACAGATACTCTTCCGAACAAAATGGAGCCAAGATAGTAGCAACGAAAGAGTGGTAACTATTATACTAGTATAAACTCATGAAGTTACTTTATTTAAATTCTCTCTTAAGTTACTGTTGGAGTGCTAAGAAAGTCGTGGGAAGGGCTGAAACCGGAGCTCGCTGTGGAGGAGCCAGTGCGGGGCCCGTGCCCTCGCCCAGGACCAGGGTCTGCTGGCTGTTCTTCATTCCCACCCCTGTCGTGTGCAATTAGAAGTCTGAGTTGAACCAGCTTCTGTCTCTAAGCCGAGTGCTTTGTCTTTCATTGAGCCTGGTGTCCGCTTAATGACAGGGCTAGGAAGGCTGGGGAGGCCAGGACGGGGAGCCGGCTTCCAGAGTCAGTCCGTCGCTGGCCTAGAGGAGAGGTCAGGCACGACCCTTGCTTCGTGATCCTAGGAAGTTGATGGGTGGAAACTTGCTAGCACACCACCTGCTTAAAAAATACACGTATGTGTCGGCTTAAATGAAAGTCGTGCCGCCGAGCCCCATGAGGACGAATAGCAGCCACGTGTGAAAGGGAGAGAAGTGTGGTTATATCTTCTTTCCTCCAGTGCCTGTTCCTACCTTTTCTCCCAGACGAAATATGTCCTCTCATAGGCCCTCTCATAGACCACCCTAATACAGTGTATGGCAGAAATTTTAGGGTCAGGTGCCTGGAAATGGAGTGGGCAAAGAGCGTTACTCCCGGGCTCGGAAGGGTGTGTGTACATGAGTGTACCTTGTGCGTCTCCGGGTGACATCGGGCCTCTCATCGGCGCCCGTGGCCCCCTGGGGTGGGGGTGGGGGTGGGGGTTTGAGATCCTGGGTGCAGAGCTGCGCTATCCAGTACAGGAGCCACCAGCTCCATGTGGCTCTTGAGCCCTGGAAATGGAGCTGGTCTGAATGGAGCAGTGCTGTAAATGTGGTGTATGTGCCGGGTTTCATATTAAGTTGTCTTTTTCATTAATAATTCTTACACTGACTACCTGCTGAAATTGTGTTTGGGGTATGGTGGCATGGAACATGTTACTAAAAGTAATTTCACATGGTTCTCTTTTACTTTCTTAAAGTGGCTATTAGACAATGGAGGACTCTGTGCTGGGCTCGAGTTACATGTCTGTGGGGTGGCAGCCTCCCAGTTCTGTGTCTCATAGCTTCCCTGCTGGTGCACTCGTCTGGGTCTCCTTCATCCACTGCCAGCAGGGTGGGTCCAGTGCCGCGGGGGCCTGAGTCCTTTCTGCTCGCAGAACGCCGCAGCAGGTGCTGCGGGGCGCTCAGAGGCAGCGAGGGGCTCCTGTCTCGGAGGACTTGCCAGCCTCTCGTAACCAGGGCAAAGGCTTGGGGGCTTCCCGGTGGGGATCGGAATCAACTAAAATACGCAGAGCTAGGTCTTCTCAATACTTGGTATTTGTTGGACAGGGTTATTTTATTAAAAGAAGCCTTATTATTTATAATTACTAGTAATTTTTAACATCACATATTTTAAATAGGAAACGAAATGACAAAATAGAATTACTGGTGGGTTGTATTGCCGAACTTTCAGAAATTGAGGAGAACATGCTACTCAGACACGGAGAAAACGACTTCAGTGTCATGTACTCCACGAGGAAAAACTGCGCTCAGCTCTGGCTCGGCCCGGCTGCGTTCATAAACCACGGTAAGCGCCTTTCTCGGGGCCTGGCGCCGGTGTGGGCGGCACCAACCACTCCCAGTGGGACGGCCCTGTCTGACCGAGGGAGCCTCCGTCGTCCTCCAGAGGAGGGCTAGGAATGTGATCTCCCCCCACAAAGTCGTTAAATACTCCTGTGGTTCTACCTTGGGACGCAAATTTCTATCAACTTTGTAAACTTTATATGGAAAGCTTATTTCAGATTTCTGTAATTGTTCGTGTTTCAGATCTTATCTACAGTTAATTGACTTTATCTTTTGGACATTTTTCAGATTGCAGACCTAACTGTAAGGTAAGCACAAAAATTTTATCTCAAGTATTTAGTTTCTGCTCCAGGTACGAGTTTCTTACTGAGTTAATTTTATTTCAGTTTGTGTCAACTGGTCGAGACACAGCATGTGTGAAGGCTCTCAGAGACATTGAACCTGGGGAAGAAATTTCTTGTTACTATGGAGATGGGTTTTTTGGAGAAAACAACGAGTTCTGCGAGTGTTACACTTGTGAAAGGTACGCATAGTATTCATGAAGATGTTCGGCTTTTTCATTCTTTTAACCACCTGATGATCGTGGACATTAAATCGCATTATCTCGTCACTTAAATGCAGGGGTGGTCGTGTGCATTAGAACATCACACCCAGTACTGAACGCATAAACAAAATCACAGGATCCAGAACTTTGAGGGGCCCTGGCACCTAACCCTGTCAACTCCCACTGTTACCAGCGGTTACTCTCATGAATGGGTCAGAATTCAAACGCGCATGAGGGGAGAGTGGGAGACACTTACACGCACGCACGCACACAGCCGGCGGGGGTTGCCCCCAAAATGGCAAGTGAAGTTCCACTGCTGACAGTCCTGCACAACCCTGGAGCAGTCTTGTGAATTACCACGCTCTGCCCTCTGGAATTTTCGCTTTGAGGCATATACTCTTTATAATTCCTAAGTTCCGTCCCTTAGTGGGGAACCTCTCTGTGTGACCCATTGAGACTCTGGCGTCCTTGTGGGAATCCCCCGGGTCTGCCTTAGCAGCACTGCTGTTCAGCGGCTTGTTAGAGGAACCACTGCCGGCCTGAGCTCCCAGAGACAGCCTCACAGGCTCACCCGGGGGCGCTGCAGGAAGGCCCCATCACAGCCTAGTGCAGCCTGTGTAGGCCACGCTGCCCAGCAGACCTGGGCTTGTGCAACCCATTTCGCATGCCTTGCACTGCCCTGGACACCACCGGTCTGGACTCATTCGGTGCTCACAGCCATCCTGTGAGAGGGCAGTAGTGACTGCCCCTTGCAGGGGCGGAAACTGAAGTACTGAGCCCCGGTCAGCCTAACTTCAGAGCTCTCATTCTTTTCACGTCATGTTGCTTTTGCAAATAGGAGCAGTAGTACTGGTTAGTGCTACTTCTCCCCTGAAGACACCCAGCCTTAGTCCTGGATGGGCAACGTGGTGGGTTCCGCAGAGGCCTCGTTCTCCTCTTCCTGGGTGGCCAGAGGTTTCCCCGGGTTGGGGTGGGGGATAACACTTACCTTTTTCTATATAAAAATGGCATGAACATTGGTTGGATCTTAGACTAGTCCCCAAAAAGACCCTTTAATCTATGAAATAACTTAACTATAGTTGATCAGTGCTTTGAAATCATTGTACAGAGACAGCACAGTGTAGTGGGGTAAGTGCCTGGGACCCGGGGCAGACTGCCCGGGCTGGGTCCCGGGGCTCTGCACTTCGTTCGCCCCAAGGTCTGGGCAGCCCAGCCGCTTCTGTCCCTCAGTTCCCTTCGGTGTCTGCAACGTGAGGAGAGCTCTGGGACTTAGTCCGTAGGTTTGCTGTGAGGGTTAAATTAGTTATTTCACATAAAGTGTGTAGAACAGCACATAATTAATACTCAAATATTAACTATAAAGTTGCATTCTGGTTTCTGGTTGTTATTAATAGAAATGCCAAGAAGTCAGAGATTTTTATCTCTTTTATTTACTCCTATATTCCAGAATAGTACCTGGCACATAGTAGGTGCTTGATAAACATTTGCTAAATGAATGATTGAATGGAGCAGATGATACGCTAATAAGGTTTTAGAGGCAGTCCTGAAAGTGTAACTACATACACAAGATTCCAAACCAGCCCTGAAACAACTATTTTACTCATTCAGAGCTGCTTGTATCATCATGTTCCTTAGGCGTGTTAATTGTCGTTATTGAGCCCTGGTTTCTCCCGGGTCATTTGGGGTCATCCCTCCTACTTCATAGGCTGCGTATGAACAGTAGGTAGAAACGTGCAAGTCCTTCCCAAGTGGAAAGGCCTCATACACAGAACAGTATGCATGGCTGTTGTCACACTGTGTGAGCAGTTTGATCTGAAGCTTGGCTGCAAATAGGGTTCAAGTTCTCAGGAACACCAGTTAGATGAGAGGATGAGAGTAGTCAGAGGAACTCATTCAGTTCTTCATTGGATACTAACTGAACAGCTACTTTGTGCTGGGCCTGCATGTGCATGATAAACAAGACTAATAAGCACAGCGCCAGTCGAGAGGGCAGTGTGTACACACATCCGTACTCACACGGTGCTGGGTGCTGGAAGGCGAGAAGAGGGGGCCCAGGGAAGGGCAGAGAGGGGGCGGAATTTTACAGAGACGCTGAAGTAGCAGGTGAAGTGCCCAGGATGCATCGCATGCCTGCGTCTGGGCTGTAAGTGCCCTGACGCTGCAGCGACTGTGGCGCGTTCCCCATCAGCACTGCAGATTTCACGCCGGAAATTGGAGGGGTAGAATCTGATGAGGGGCCAACTCACTGTAGAGCTTATGCAAAAGTATGTTTGATAGCCAAGAAAATATTTCTAAAGTAAAGGGAGATTTGCCTTAACAGATATTAAAAAGATTCTATGAAACAATTGTAATCAAAACTTGATGATATTCACTGGCCAGAAATGGGCAGGTAGGTAGGAGGACACGAGTGGAGCCTGAAACAGGCCAGCACGAGGGGGCAGTGTATCCCATCTGCCCGCGGGCGTCCGCGTGTGCCGAGGGCTGGCCTTCTGACTGCAAGACTGACTGGCGCCCCGGGTCCCGCCTTGTTCAAGGGTCAGCTGTCGATCGTTATGTGTCTGGAAGAAAACTGAGCTAAATTCCGATCTCGCACTATATAAAAATAAATTCCAGATGGGTTAAGAATTTAAATTTCGAAATACAATGCAAAACTATTAGAACAGTTTAGGAGAATATATGTTTAACATTGGGTTAGTAGTAGTCTTTTGAAAGAAGACAAGAAATGGTAAATACTGAAATTTTGAATGGCTGAAAATAAAGTCAAGGACAGACGATGAACTGAAGGGGGAACGGTACACACACGAAGGGTTAGTACTGTGATAACAGAAACTCCGGCGAGCTCACAGGGAGAGACAGGCTCCAGTAGTAGAGAAAGGAGGGGGGTGCTGCACAGAGCATGAGGACCAGAAGCAGGGGAATCAGAACAACCAGGTATTCGTTTTCACCATCAGTTGGCAAAATTTGAGGGGCGCGCTGCATACTGCTGGTGAGAACGTGGAGAAACAGGTACGATGTTATTAGGACCATGAATAATAGCTGTAACCTTTTGGGGAAGGAATCTGGCAACGTGTGTCAGAAGTAAGTGTACCACTTACTTGGCAGTCAGTCCCACTTGGCAGACTCTGTCCTCTGGAAATACGAGCACTAGCTCATGGATTCGGTTTCAAGAGCAGCACGGCAGCCGTGTTCATGGTGGCGAGCGGGAAAGATAGCCTGCAAGGTTCAGTGTCCACAACCTTTAGAACGTGTTCTATTCCAGTTGATTTGCCTGAGCCGTGACCATGGTAAAGCTGGTTGCTGAGTGAACGCGTGTATTATCCTGCTGACTCGGTTCACTGAGAAAACACCGACAACGAGATAGGTGTGCAGACGGGGGCACAGAGGTGGGAGCGGAGGTGCCGGCAGGTGGGGAGCACTGGCCCCTCAGGGTTGCGGGGCTGCCGGGGGTTGGGAAGCACCACCGGTTTCCGCCTTTCAGGTGTTGCTGTCCTGGGCGGCGATCTGGCTCGCTGCAGCCAGCGCGAGCATGTGTCATGCTCCTAGGTTAGAGAGAAGAGGCGCGGGTCATAGAGAAGCAGGTGAATAGTAGAGTTTTACTTAAAAAGAAAAAACCTTCTAATTTCCAGATAAAATAATCCCACTACAATAATTTATTCTGTGTTTAAGCATAATTTTTTTAAATAAAGTCACTGGCTATATAACCACGCCTTTATTTTTTTTAATGTTTTTACAAAGATATAGTCATTTATTTATTTATTTATTTTATAGAGAGGGAAAGGAGGGGGAAAGAGAGAGCAACATCACTGTGTGGTTGCCTCGTGTGGCCCCCACTGGAAATACGGCCTACAACCCACTGAGCTATGCCAGCCAGGGCTTGTGTTTAAGCATAATTTTTAAGTGTAGCTCATCTTTCAGAAATGTTATGTGTTATGGTAAAAGGACAGGGACTATCTGAAAATAATTTATTACTTTCTTTATCCATATAAAATGAAATGGCCTTTGGGATTTATGGATTTACTTTCTGAAAGTATTTTGGGGTGGAGTTGAGTGTAATTGGTTGCCTGGCTTGGTGAGAATTTCCAATGTACTTTCTGAGCCAAAGAATTGAGGCAGTCCCACAGTAAGTTTTTTGTTGTTTTTATAAATGCATTAATAAAAATTCTAGGTGCATTCTGTGAAGGTGAAGAAAGCAGAAAGCAAGAATTCTCACCTTACCAAAAATAGTTTCCACTTTAGGGTTAGGTCTGTGCTTCCTAGCATTAAGAGTTAGGAGGGTGGGAGAGAAAAAAAACTCTTGTTGTCCCTTAGCAAAAAGTCACACACTCGTTGCTTGGGAGGAGAAAGTCCTGAAGGTCACACGGGGTCTTGTGCAGGCAAGACTGCTTTCGCACCAGAGGTGTTCGCAGTCCGACCGCAGGGTCGGAAGCTGTTACTACTTGGCTTTCTTCTAACAAGCTAAGGCCGACGGAAGGCAATTTTAGCCCAGCAGATTTCTCACTTCTTAAATGCAACAGGTAGTGCTTTTTTTAAAACCTCTTTAGTGTATAATTCTTTTGCATAGAGCTGAGTAGAAATTTCCCTTTATACACTGAATAAAGCAAAGATTTGCAAAAACAGATTCATTTAGGAAGTTTAGGAACTCTCCTGTTAAACACCCTCACTTGAGAAGAATTTACATAAATACGAATAGTTAAAGCAGGTTAGAAATTATTATTCTTATCCTGTGGTAAAAGCAAGTCTTTTAATTGTGATGTCTTCTGTTTAGTAACGTTTTATTAACTTGATTACGGTCATTTGTTTATCCAGTAACTCGGAAGGAATGACTTGGCAGGGTTTTGTGTTCCCAGACTCAGATTCTCACTGAGACAGCCTCGCCTTCTGGTGCGGGATTTCAGTTGGGGCTTGTCGTGTCGAACATTAAGTTCTATCGAAATAATGACTTAATTTATGGAAATTGCCTGGTTTCTTTTTTTAATTTCTTAATTCTCAGTTTTTAGTAGTGTAGTGTTAAATTGTGTAGAACAAGGCTGGAACATAATTAACAGGTGGGTTATTTAAGCCACAGTGTAGACCACAATGTATTTCTGTATGTATACAGAAATAGTAAATTTCACCAACCAGTTTTGAAATTGAAGAATCAGTCATTTATTGTTTTCTTCACATAATTCTACAGGGTCCAGTAGCTTCTCGCGGGCGGTTAGTGATCGACAGCAGTCATAACACCTTGTTGTTGTTAATTTTACATAATATTGAATCTCTCTGGCGAGCCCTAGACCTGGCAGACCCCGGGGGTGGTGGAGGCCCCTCCGCTCATCACGCCTGTGGACCGGATGGGCCTGGAGCCCGCGGCCTGTGGTCCGTAAGTACGCTGCTCGTGTGACGTGTGCTCTTTTCTCTTTCAGACGGGGAACTGGTGCTTTTAAATCCAGAGTGGGACTGCCTGCGCCTGCTCCTGTTATCAATAGCAAATACGGACTCAGAGAAACAGATAAACGTTTAAATAGGCTTAAAAAGTTAGGTGACAGCAGCAAACATTCAGACAGTCAGTCTGTCAGCTCTAACACTGATGCAGATACCACTCAGGAAAAAAACAATGCAAGTAAGTAAGGGACCTTTGATGAGCATATCTTTTTGGGGGTTTTTTAAATGTTTCAACACAGTTTGTTTCCTGAAGTGTGTGCTTCAATAGTTTTGATCTTTTAAATATTGAGAGACACCCTGGGTCTTCAGCAACATCACAAGGTTCTAGAATGATCCACCCACAAAAGCAGTCTGTATCCCTCCTGCAGATTTAGTTGGCTTGTCTAGACCCATTGCTCTGCTTTTCCTGACTACTTGGTAACTGGATCTTCCATGCTTCATCACATGCCCCAGGGTTGTCTTATGTATCATGCATGTGTCATGTATGAGACATACTGTGTATGGCATGTGTTTGTGTGTGTATACGTGTTTGAGAGCAACGTTCTCGAGGTGTTAGCTTCACTGCAGTGAAGCGGCTGCGAGCAGATGGGATGGGGCGGGGCCACACGGGCGCACGCCCAGCCAGCTGTTGGGACGGCTGAGGGACACGGGGTTCAGAGCTTCTGGCTTCCGGGTTTACTTGCCTTTTTCAAAATGAACTGACCCAGTTCACCGCCAGTTACCAGGATTAGATTGTGATAAAGGAGCATTTTAAATGTCCCTGCACTGTGACATATTAGCTGCTACCAAAAAGCAAGGTGAGAAGGAGAAAGCAGCAAGCTTTAAGATGCCGGTTGTGGGGGTGGGGCCCAGACCTAATGGAACTGAGAAAAGAATGAAGAATACAGAGTGAAGAAGGAAGGGAAGAAAGCCTAAGCAAAGAAAACACATCGTCTCGGAGCTCCGAAGTCCTGGGACCGTTCTGAACGCTGCTGTTTTCCGCCTGGGTAGCACCGACCTGCTCCGGCTGCACTGAAGTGGTGGGCTCTTTGGTCTGGCTTCTCCCTGACGGGGGTCGAGTTTGAAGGTTTTGCCCTGGTGACCCCCAGAGTCTGCCTGTTTGGGCACTAAATGTTCATAGATACTTCTAGGCACCTGAGTATCCTCTGAGACCTGGTTATTTTAGGCTCTTCTCCCTCTCTTCACGTTTTCAGCCCAGCACTGGGTGCTGCCCTCCCTTGCAGAAAACCCCGAAGAAAAGGGAAAGTGTCTCCCGTGATGGCGAAGGTCAATGCCGTGAATTCCCGAATCTGCCTGCTGCCGGGAGTCAGAGGACAGACGCCCCCTCTGTAGTGTAACAGTAACCCTGTGCACCTAGCCCCGCTCGTAGTGTCCGGAGTGCACGAGACGAGAGCAGTTAGTCCGTCATTCGCTGTGGACTGTTGGTTCTGACAATAAATGCAGCGTAATCAATGCTTGTTTTCTGAGTCTGGTTCCTTGGTGGCACTGGAGACGTGTGAAACCTGTATGTGGAGACTGCCCCGGCGCTGTCCCCATTGAGTGGCTCTGGCATTCCAGGGGGGGTTTGTGTTTTTATGCATTAACTGTGTTTCCAGTGTAAAGATTCTCAATTCGGTACACCACAGTTTAAAAGATTGGAATACAAATACTTTTCGGAAGGTGTTGAGTGTACTATACTATGTGAGCATCAGGGAATATTTATCAATAAACCAAATATTTTTAAAAAATTTTTTAAATTTATTTTTAGAGAGAAGGGAAGGGAGGGGGAGAAGCGTCGATGTGTATGAGAGACAGCGATCGATCCCCTTTTGCACACCCGCAGCGTGGACGTGGCCCGCAGCCCCGGCTCGTCTGGGATTTAGCAGCTGACGGGAACTGCTTTCCTTGAGCAGCATGTGTATTCTTTTTAAAGAAACATTTCTGCCTAGTGGAAAGAAAAATTATTTCTTCCGTGCAGATCCTTTTTCATAAGGTAGATGAGAGCCACAACCTGACGGTTTGCTTTAGCGTCCAGAGAGGGGAGAAGGGAAGAAACCAATCCTTACAAATTCACTTCACAAGCCTGAATTATGCCGTTATTGGAAGATTCTGGTTTTTTAGGTCTCTTGTGGCTTGATGTGGGCAGTGCCCTGATACAGGATGTGTGTCACTGCAAATGCCACAAGTTGGGACAGGACCCAGGAGCCTTGGCCAGTGCATTAAGGCTCTCTGAACTGAGGAGAGCCTGTCCTGGAGGCAGGGCTGCTTGCCACTTTCCAGTCTCGCCCGCCACAGGTAGCGCCCCCCAGCCTGAGCGCGGGGGTCTGCATCAGGTCCTGGCCCAGGGCCTGTTCACGGCAGCCGTGGTCGGTCTGTGTTGGCCACGTGAGGTGGGTGCTGCTGGCTCGGGTTCTGAAGTATCAGCTGTGTGTGATCCTTGTACTATTACCTCGGTTCACACCGACAGCGTGTGTACCTGGGGCTTCCCGCCCGGACGCAGCCCTGGCACTCGGGAACCCTCGGTGTGGTTCGGCCGCTCTCGTGTCTGGCCGTAACTCCTGACACCCGTGCAGGGCTGCCGCGTGATTTTGAGGACACCCGGAAATGACCGCGATGGCCGTGCTGTGGCTCCTTTGCCCGTGAGTTGGGCCTGGCATTCCTCAGAGGCAGGGCCTAAGAGCTTGGGGTCTTGCCCTGCCTGGCGTGGCTCAGTGGCTTGAGCGCCAGCCTGCGAACCAAGGGGCCATTGATTGGGTTCCTAGTCAGGGCACCTGCCTGGCTTGCAGGCCAGGTCCGCACTGGTGGGCACTTGAGAGGCAACCACACATTAATGTTTCGCTTCCTCCCTCCCCCTCTCTCTAATAAAATTAATTAATTAATTAAGTCTTTTTAAAAACTTGGGATCTTGAACCATAGAGCTCAGTGGAGATCCCATCTCTGCCCTTCGCCAGATGGACAGTCTTAGGCACACGGGTCCTGTGAGCGTGGTTCTCACAGAGGTGTAATGGCTCATCAGAGAATGCTTGTTAGCACTGAGGTCATGCTTACTTGGCCATTTGCATAGCACCTGCTATATTATAATTGCAAAGAATGTGGCTTCTCCTGAAATCACTGTCTAGGTTTATGCATTTGGGGCTTTTCCTGGACAGCGGGGAAGAGAGTCACAGATGGCGTGTCAGTGCAGGCACCGGGGCGGCCACAGTCAGAATCCTTAGTCTCTTCTTTTTCAAAGATTTTATTTATGTTTAGAGACGGGGGGGAGGTAGGGAGAGCGGGGAGAGACGTTGATGTGCGAGAGAAATGTCCATCAGTTGCCCTTGCGTGCCCCGAACTGGGGACCAAGTCCACAGCCCAGGCCTGTGCCCTGGCCAAAGTCGAACTGGTGACCACCTGCTTTGCTGGATGACGCCCAGCCCGCTGAGCCACACTGGTCAGGGTGGAGTCCTCGGTCTCGCGCCTCAGTCACTCTGCTCTCAGTTCTGCCCGGCTTGCGTGTGTGTGTTCTTTTTTAACCTTCGACTTGACACACCTTTTAGCTGGACTTCTGAAGAGAGAATGCTTTTTAGGCAAAATGAGAACACACTGTAACGACATAAACCTAAGTGGAATCTCTGTTGAAACCATCTGTAGCCTCGAATATTCTGTTTTGTGCTGTTGCGAACACACACCCAAGTGCTTTGTGAGTGAGTCACTGCTGTCAGCTAACAGTGACTCCCTGGGAAAGCGGGGTTCTGGGGGTAGGCGGGGGAGCTGGGACCCAGAATCCCCGTAAAACAAGACACTTTTAAAGGGTCAAAATAGGCGCCCAAGGAAAGGGACGCTCAGGCGTTGTGGGCCTTACAGCAAGGGCTTCCTGTCCTACATGGAGAGTCACGATGGGCTCCCTGGGAGAAGGGTGTTCCTCAGTTGAATCTTAAAGGAGGTGAAGCGTTGACCAAGTGAAGCATATTCAGAGGAGGGGGGATTTTATTTTTGAAAAACAGCCCTGGCTGGTGTGGCTCAGTGGACTGAGTGCTGGCCTGCGAACCAAAGGGTCGCCAGTTCAGTTTCCAGTCGGGGCACATGCCTGGGTTGCAGGCCAGGTCTCCAGTAGGAAGTATGTGAGAGGCAGCCACGCACTGATCTTCCTCCCTCTCTTTCTCCCTCCCTTCCTCTCACTAAAAATAATAATTTAAAAATAGATATTTTGGGGCCCTTGCTGGTGTGGCTCAGTGGATTGAGTGCCGGCCTCCGAACCAAAAGGTCGCCAGTTCGATTCCCAGTCAGGTCCATGCCTGGGTTGTGGGTCAGGTCTGCAGTTCAGGGTGTGTGAGGAGCAACCCGTGAATGTTTTTCTCGCACATCAATGTTTTTCTTATTCCTTTCCCCTCCCTGTAAAATAAGTAAGTAAAATATATTTTTTAATATTTTTAAAATAAATTGGGGGGTGAGTGTAGGACTTATGTAAGTGGAGTTTGTCACGGCTGGACTAGGAGGCGAGAAAAAGGGATGTGAGCATGACTCAGAGTTGTGGACTTTATTCTTAGGGCGTTAGGTTAGTGTAAGGTCAAAAGCGCAGAAGCGACATGGTGCATGTACTAGGGAGATCATTTTGGCTGCATGGTGGGGAGCGGGGTGTTGGGGAAGCAGGAGCAGAGACGAGAAAGGGTAGAAGCTGCTGCCCTCGTTCAGGCAGGAGGCTGTGGCCGCGGTGGGGGGAGGTGGACCCCACAGGACATGGTGGTTGGCTGGGAGAGGCGGTCCGGGAAAGCAAGCACCAGGAACGCCCTCCCGGGGTCTGCTGGGCAGCTGGGCGGACTGTGGTGGTGCGCACCCAAATGGAGAAGTGTAGAAGGAGAAGCGGCCGTGAGACTTGATGGAGAGTTCAAGTTAAGCATGTTCGCCGAGGGCCTTACGAGACAGCCTCGGAGGGAGGGCCAGATGCCAGTGGGTGTTGGGTGAGAGGGATCGATGATGCAGGAGAGGTCGCGCTGGAGAAAGTGGTTCGGGAACTGCCCGCGGGTCGGTGGTAATAGCCGTGGGGCGTGGGTGCCTGTCACCCGGAGGCTGCTTTCCCAGAGGCCTGAGGAGTGCCGTCTCGGGGCACTCCCAGGGAGGGTGCTCTCGTGGACAGCCGAGGGGAGAGGGTTTTCCTGGAAAATGAGTGGTGAGCAGTGTCACATTCTGCAAAGGAAGGTAAGGGCTCCAAGCGCTCCCTGGATCTCACGACCCGGAGGCTGTCGGAGACTGGCCGAGGCCCTCAAGCCGCCGCGCACGGGCTGGGTCCAGACTTGAGGGGTGTGGCTGTGGGGAGCGCGGGGTGTGTGTGTGACGGTGATGTGCCGCTGGTGGGGGTGCAAAGCGGGAGGGGGTGGGGAAGGGGGGGGCCGAGTTGAGAACCGCTGACCTGGTCCTGGAGCGGCCCTTGAAGGGCCGTGGGCGGAGCAGGGGACCGCCACAGCCGCCCGGAGAGGACGGAGCGCGGAACGCCGGTGTGTGCCGACCTCCGTGAGCCCGTGTCCCCGGTCCGCCTCGGGGGAGGAAGCCCTGGGGGCAGAAAGAAATGGTTTAGCCAAAGAATTCCCAGAATATCCTTATGTTTTAAAAATAATTTTGAGCAAATGCTGTATCCGGTTCACACCAGTTTCCCAATGGAGCGGCATCCAGACTTGACCACTGTTCAGAAGGTAGCGGCCTGCTCGGGAACAGCGAGTCTCGGGCCTGGGGATCCTGCCGGCGTGGGGACCTCGGCGCCATTTAGGAGCCAGTCTCAAGTACAGAGCCTTCTGTTCCCGATGGCGCGGTCGTTTTGGAAAGCTTGTTACTCATTCTTGCTCTTCTCAATACAAACTAATGGTAGCTGATTGCCTAGCCATGCAGAAGGAACAGCAGTTGCCCGGCAACCCTCAGGCATGGAGCAAGCAACAGTCTCTGTCTGGCAGTGTGCTGGGCCTGCCCACATGCGTTGTTTTCCTTCTCCGTCGCCTCTGGTGAGAGGTGGTGATTGTTAGACCCTCTCAGCTTCCGTAGTGAATGAGGGGAAGGAGTATCTGGATGGGTGGGGGGTTTCAGATGGGGACTGTGGGAAGCTAGTTGAGGGGTCGGCTCACGTAAAGCATGGTATGTGTAGGTCTGGTCCCAGTGTACATGCAGAGAGAACAGCACCGGGGCAGGTCAGAGGCTCCCCTGGGGCGCAGCTGGGACTTGAGCCACGTATCGGCCTCGTGTAAAGCCCTTCAGCTGTCACCCCAGTTCTCAGGTGGAGGTTTTCAGTAGGATCATGGCGACCTCTCTGCATCCTTGACCAGAGGAAGGAAGTCGGAGGCCCCCCACCTGAGGGTAATTCTGGCCGCAGGCAGTCGAGAGAGGGACGGGGCCAAGTGAGTCCCGCTGCTCCTTTCAGCGCTGACGGGAGCGACTCAGTGCAGGTTTTGGGGTGATTGTCTCTTGGGGATACAGTGTGTGATTCTTAGGACCTGTTCTTGCTTGAAGCCACTGAAATAGAATTCATCTCTTTGAGCCCATTTGCAGTGTTTCTGTCCTAGATTTACTAGTCAAATAATATACTTACTTTGAGTTAATAAGCAATTGGATTTTAGAAACCTACTTTTTAAAAATATTTTTATTTTTAGAGAGGGGAAGGGAAGGACAAACAGAGGGAGAGAAACATCAATGTGTGGTTGCCTATCGTGCAACCCCTACTTGGGGCCCAACCTCACCTGCAACCCAGGCCTGTGCCCTGACTGGGAACTGAACCAGTGACCCCTTGGTTCACAGGCCAGAGCTCAATCCACTGAGCCGTACCAGCCAGGGCGAAACCTACTTTAAATGATTATTCTAAGAACTTGTGAAAGGGAAAAAAGCTATGATTTTTCCTTAACTTCAAATCTTTTATGTGGTAAAATAATAAATTAGGAATAGAAGTACTTCTGTTGGACCAGTATAGTGATGATAGATCTTAATCTATCATTGAGCATAGAGTGAAAACTAGTTACTTGTACTGAGCTCTTTCCCCAATTCAGAGGTGAATAGATGCTCTGTAAATTAGAGGCAGAGATTGGAAGGGAAACTGTGGGAACGCTTACGCGTAGGCAGTAACTAAGCTGGGGTCGTTCTGCCCTGTGTTTTTATAATCCGAAGGTCGCATCACCGAGAATCTGGTTTGGGGCATTGTTTTGTGTTACCAAGGCTGTTTTTCATCCTTTTTTTTTTTTTTTTTTTTTTTTAAATTTGCAGCTCCTAGCCGAAAATCTTCAGTTGGCGTGAAGAAGACCAGCAAGAGCAGAACGTTAACGAGGCAGTCCGTGTCAAGAATTCCAGCTTCTTCCAACTCTACCTCATCTAAGCTAACTCACATAAATAATTCCAGGGTACCAAAGAAACTGAAAAAGCCTGCAAAGCCTTTACTTTCAAAGGTAAAATTGAGAAATCATTGCAAACGGCTGGAGCAGAAGAGTGCTTCGAGAAAACTCGAGATGGGAAACTTAGTCCTTAAGGAGCCTAAAGTTGTTCTCTATAAAAATTTGCCCCTTAAGAAAGATCAGGAGCCAGAGGGACCAGTACAAGCCGCAGTGGCGAGTGGGTGCTTGACTAGACATGCCGCAAGAGAGCACAAACAGAACTCGGTGCGAGGGGCCCCTCCGCCCGGGGAGGGCGCTCCCACCACCTACACAACCAGGCGGTCCGTGAGGACGAGAATGAACTTGAAGGAGACCTCTGACATCAAGCTGGAACCAAATACATCGGACGGCTATGAAAACGGTTTGACTGAGCCTTGCCCAGACACTGGCGAGCAGCCGGCTCTGGCGGTGCAGGGCGAGGAACTGGCTCATGACACTGCACAGAGAGGGGACTCCAAGTGTCCTAAGAGTGACAGCAGCATCGCAAAGAAGAAGTCACGACAAGGAAAACTTGTCAAACAGTTGGCAAAGGCAGAGGAATCCCCTCCGGTGCGTGATCCTCCCGGAAAAGCCGGCGTGGTGCCTGATGGGACTGGACCCCTCTGCGACCAGGGCCAGCACAGCGGCACAGAGGGCGTGCCCAGCAGCTACTTGGACTGGGCCTCTGCGCCTCTGGATGGCGCGGTGGTGACGTCAGATAGCTTCAAAACAAAAGACGGCTTCAGAACTGCGAAAAGTAAAAAGAAGAGGCGGATCACAAGGTATGACGCACAGTTAATCCTGGAAAATAACTCGGGGATCCCCAAACTGACGCTTCGAAGGCGTCACGACAGCAGCAGCAAGACAAACGACCCGGAGAATGACGGGATGAATTCTTCCAAAATAAGCATCAAGTTAAGTAAAGACCATGAAAACGATAATAATCTGTATGTAGCAAAGCTGAATAATGGATTTAACTCAGGATCAGGTGGTAGTTCTACAAAATTAAAAATCCAGCTAAAGCGGGATGAGGAGAGTCGGGGGTCTTGTACAGAGGGGCTTCACGAAAACGGGGTGTGCTGCAGTGACCCCCTGTCCCTCCTGGAGTCTCGCATGGAGGTCGATGACTACAGTCAATACGAGGAGGAAAGCACGGACGGCTCCTCCTCCTCGGAGGGGGGCGAAGAGGAGGAGGACTACGAGGACGACTTCGAGGACGACTTCATCCCCCTTCCGCCGGCCAAGCGGCTGCGGCTGATCGTCGGGAAGGACTCCATAGATATTGACATCTCTTCCCGGAGGAGAGAAGACCAGTCTTTGAGGCTTAACGCGTGAGCTCTGGGCTCGCCGCGGCCCGGATGACTACTGTAACGAATGAAAAATTCCAGTCAGTTACTCCTAGGCTGAAACATTTGAGCACAGCACTTCTCTCGTCTCCTCACCTACCGGCATAACACCTAGCAAGTGTACAGCGTGCTGACTCCGGAAAGTCTGATTCGTGCACATTTTTATTGTACTTTTTACATAGCCTTCTTATGTGCAATTCTGAGTTAGCGATGAAGCCCCGTTGTAAAATAAAGGCTCAAGCAGAACTGTACAGTGACAGCAGCTTTCCACGCAGGACATTGGAAACGATAATGTGGCTACACAATTTTTTTTTAACTTGAAGAGCATTAACTAGCTCTTTAATATATGACTAAACAATAATTTAAAACAAATCATAGTAGCAGCATATTAAGGTTTTCTAGTATATGCTAATATCACCAGCAATGATCTTCGGCTTTTTGATTTATTTGCTCGATGTTGCCCCTTGGAGTTTTGTCAGTTCCACGCTGTTGGCTGGCCCGGGCGCACTGTGTGCGGCCTCGGTTGGAGGTCAGGTTGGTTTCTTTACAAAAAGAGTACAGTTGGCGTGCGGCGGCCACCTTGTCCGTGCATCGTATGGACGAGGTAGCAGAGTGCGGGATGAGTTTCGGTGCGGCGTATTTATTGCTTGTCATGTAAGTTAAAGACCTTGTATTTAACACTTTTCAATACTTTTAGATAAAATTGTTCTTTGCAAGAATGATTGGTGCTTATTTTTTCAAAAATTTGCTGTGAACAATGTGATGACAACAAGCAACATTGATCTGATGAACTACAGCTCTCTTAATTTGGGTCTTCAAGTTTTCTGTTGCACTTGTAAAATGCTACAAGGAATATTAAAAAACTCTATTCACTTTAACTTATAATAGTTTATGAAATAAAAACATGAGTCACAGCTTTTGTTCTGTGGTAACCTATAAAAATGTTTGTCTTTGAAATTCAATGTAAAGAACTGAAACAATGTATATGTTGTAAATATTTGTGTGTTGTGAGAAATTTTTGTCATAAGAAATTAAAAGAACTTACCAGGAAGGTTTTTAAGTTTAGAAATATCCATGCCAATAAAATAGGAAATTATAAATATATAGTTTTAAGCACTGCATCAGTGGGAGTTCTTGGCTTATGTTAGTTTATGTATGAAAAATATCAAAGAGTTTTTGACTATATTATCAGTTAAACAAAAAGAAGAGTCAGATTTAATTTGTTTTTGAAGCACTTTGAGAAGAGAAATTAATTTTAAGTAACTTAATGAGCAAAATTTTACTACTTTATGTTCAGTATCGGTCTTTCCTTTTTCTGGATTATTTTACAAATCGTCGGACACAGCGTCGGGGACTGAACCTGTGACAGGCGTTGGCGCCAGCCAGCCCGTTTCTGGAAAGTGTGCGTGAGCTCTCTGATGCACAGTGTTCCCCAGTGAGACCGAGTCGGGGCGTGCGTGTCGTGCCTGGCGGCGGGGTGGCCCAGGTGTCACCTCGCTCGGAGGAGGTGGCGGGTCACTCGAAGTCCCTTGGAGAAAACCTCCGTGCCCACGGTTGTCCTGGTTCCCACCAATGTTGAGATTCTGAGACGTTTAAGCTCCTTAACACTATGGCCAACAGGTTCCAAGTAGAAATTAATAACATCCATAAAAGTTGTTTAAATCGAGAGGTTTTTGTTTCCCTCCTTCCGTTCCTCAAGGAGTCACTTCTGTAGGCTTGTCCCATCCTCCTGTGTCACGGTGCAGTTGAACCCCTCAGGTACCCGTGTGGCAGCACGTGACCACAGCTTGGGTCCACCCAGGGTCCTCACCCGGGAAGCGGGGTGGCCCCCAGGGTCAGCCCGCTCAGCGCCCCACAGACCACGAGCTGTTCTCACCGCGCCCCTGTGCAGAAGCGTGAGACTCATGCCACCAAGGAAAGCCGGCCGGAGGGTCACCTCTTCGATTCCCACCTTAGTTTGGGGAGTTTTGTAGAGGGCCAGAGACCAGATCTTGAACTGATTCTTGGAACACCAACAATAGCCATTTCAGGAAATTCGGTCTTAAGGAAAAAGTAATAAAGTAATCATATTTCTCACTTTTCTCCATTTTTTTAAAGCTTCATTTTAGTAACTTATTGATGATGTTAGTTTTAACTTGATGGCGGCCTTGCCCTTTGAGCCGACCTTCCCGTGCGTCCGAGCGGTGATGTTGTGCGGACGCCTTGCCGGGAGGCCGCTTCCGAGTTAGCGCTGGGGCCTGGGAGCTGCCCCGGCTCTGCTGGGGGTGCAGCGAGGCCCACCCGGCGCGGCCGGCAGGGGTCGGTGAGACTTCCACTCGGTAAAACTCTTAGCTCGAGCTTATGCAATGATCGGTAAAGACTTTGGCATTGTAAGAATTAGGAAATGATCATAGAAATATATGTAAAGTATTCAATTTTCAATCATTTTTCAAACTACTGTTTTAAATTGTTTTGCTGAGTTGTAATACTTTTGAGATACAATGTATTCCTTGTACTGAAAGAATGAAAAAAAAGGACTTTTTCAGCATTTGAGGTAAGTTCTTTAACGTTTCATTAAAAACATTTTTTACAAATATTTTGTACATGCACTTGCAGTATTGAGGTTAATCATTTTAATAAATTCGGAAATTAAAACAGTCTGGCCGGTGTTCACTGTATCTGAGAAGAGAAGGTCAGAGCGGTTTTCTCCCACAGGCTTTTCCTTTGAATTAGAATTTGTGGAATCGGCGTTTCTAAAGCTTCTCAGTCTCTCCGAGCGAGAGGCGTTCTCGGACCCCCGGTCTCTCTCCGCCTCTGGCTCGAGCCCCTGTCCGTCGCTCGTTCAGAAGAAAAGAGGGTCAGCACTCATCCCTCCGTCGTCCCGGGGCTACTTTTAAAGGTCACTCGCTCCTCGGCCCTCGGGCCCACCGAGATCTTTGCAACCCGGTTATTAATGGTTCCTGATGACTGGGTGTTTTTCTCACCGGATTGGACGGACCTGGCCTGGGTCCTCCTTCCTCCCAGTTACTGGAGCCTAAGCCTCGTTGACAGAGGACATGACGGGGTGGCCGGCTCAGGAGCCAGGCAGCCTGAGCTGGCCCGGCTCTGCAACCTGTGTGCTAGGGGCCCTGGGCGAGCCGCTGACCCCCAGGCTGTCCGGCACCTGGAGGTCGGGGCGAGCGGCGAGGGTGCCTGGTGCAGGCCAGACAAGAACGCAGGCTTCCCGATTCGCTGAAATCCACCCAAACTTGGGTCCCCGTGTGGGGGGAAAGGCTGACCTGTGGCGCCCCCGCTACACACTCAGGCCTCTCACCCAGTCTCAGGTTTCCTCTCCGCTCCTTTCCGGCAGCCAGCAGCAGCTCGCCTGTCCTGTGCCACCCACGGCCCCGCGTGACTTCTGTTTCTCAGGTGCCATCGTGTTTGCTGCAGGACCCACCGACACTTGGAGCGAAGGGCAGCAAGCTGCTGGCCTTGGGCCCTTTTCCAGCCCTAGGGTCAGGGTGAGCGGGACCCTCGCCCGCAAGGGTTGGGGGTAAGTGGGTCTCCAGCCTTCTCCCTCCCCGGGGTCATGAGAGGAGCCTGGGCTTCGTGTTTGCCCAGCGACCCCAAGGAAAGGCGGATTTTTATTCTTCAGGAAGCCTCGGGGGTGTGGGTGGGCAGGATTGGGAAGGGGTCACCCACCCAGGCTGCCTCTGCCGCCTTCCTGCGACTCAGCTACTCCAGTCCTCCCTGGACGTTGAAGTCGATGGTCACGGGCACAGGTGGAAAGCTGCCTTCCCTGAGGACAGAAGACAGACCGCAGTCTCAGAGAGAGGGCTTTGGTAACGTTTTGTTTTTTAAAGTCTGTGCCTGTCAGGTACATGTTTTTCTGCCAAGTTGCAGGAGACAGTGACTTATGTTTTTGGGCTGTGACCCGCACCCTGTGGAGCCCGCTCTGCTGAGGTGAGACAGAGCTCTCGGGGTGCACCCGGGCCCACCAGGGGCTGGCGGGGGATTTGCAGGGGCTCCCAGTCCCGGGCCCGAGCAGGCAGCGTCCAGAGCACCAGGAGTCTGGGGGCTGCTGCATTGCTCCAGTATGTGGGGGGTACGTGCTGTGGGGGGGCCGGGGGGTGAGGTTTGAGTGTTTTCCTTGGGTGTGACCAAAGTCATAGGAGCGTATGCAGTGGCCGAGGGAAAGATGACCGGCAGGCCCTGCCGACACAGGCATGGACGCAGGTGCCGTCGGGCCATTCGTGGTCCTGACCCCGGAGAACCCGGGAAGCCCCGGGCAGCACCGTCTGCAGGAGCCAGCGCAGCGGAGAGGGGGAAGAGGGGGGGTTGCTGACGGTCGGAGGGGAAGCTTCCAAGGGGGCTGAGTTCCAAGAAGAGAAGTAAAGGAGTCTCTCAGAGTCTGGGGGAGGAGGGGTGGTCTTAGGAAGCCACCTCGGGCTTCCTTGCTAACAAGGGGAGAGGGGACAGCTGTGGGGGTGAGGGGTCAGCCAGTGCCAGCGGGAGGGAGTTTCTGCTCTGCAAAGTCGGAGGCTGGGGGAGCCCAGAGTGAGGAGGGGATGAGAAGCCCCCAGACCCGAAGAGCCTGAAGAATAGAAATGGAGAAAGGGAAAGCAAGCGGACTAGAAACCTAGTGTAATTCACACACGAATCTTCACGGGGTCACTGTCGGTGGTCCGCGGTGCCCAGGCTGGCGGGAGCTGCCTGCACAGGCGAGGCGTCTGGGCCACAGCAGAGCGCAGGGCTGGAGGGCACGGGGGGGGCGGGGCTCGGGTTCAGGTGGGCAGGGAGGGCTTGAACCAAGAAAGGCCTGGAGTGCGTGCACAGGTTAGGAAAGACGAAGGGTCTGCAAGGGGTGGGGGGAGGGGAGTGTCCTGGTTCAGACGGACCCCAGTGGTCGGAGCTGAGGGCACCCACGGGGATGGCAGACAGACAGACACACACGCACGCAGGAGCCCTCCCGGGGAAGGGGGGTGGGACACCTTTTGGAGCTGCCCCTGGGGGAGGGAAGAAAAGCTCCTTAACTCTCAACAAGAGGCCAGTCAGCCTGAGGCCACGCAGCCTGTGATGACGGGCAGAGACACGTGTCAACCCCCACCCCCACCCCCGCCCCAGCACCGGCTGGGGCTCCCAGGCCCTGCCCTCGAGGGCCGCAGAGCCCAGGGTCACTCCGGCCAGCCCAGTGAGTCACAGTCACGAGGCCTCACCTTCCAGGGCTGATTCTGGAAGTCCGTTTCCTTGGGTGACACACAGCAACCACTGCTTTTCACCCTCACCGGCACGCAGTTACGAGGAGCCAGAGAACTCTGTGCAAAGGTGACCGCGCCGATAAGCGGGCGCCCCACCCCTGCTGGTCAAACACTGTACTCTGCGGGGGGGTGGGGGGGGCTTGCCCTGATTTGAAAAACCGAGTCAAGCACGAGGCTGCCTCGCGACAACCAAAGTCCAAGGTTTCCTCCAGCCCGGCCGGCGGCCAGACGCCACTGTTTCGACAGTGACCTTTCCCAAAATGCAATTCAACCTCAAGGGAGGGACCGAACCTGACCAGGGGCTTCCTCGTGTTGCCCCCTAAACTCTGACTGTGTTCACCTGGGGGTCTGTTGTGGGTCGGGTTTTGGAAGCTGCACTGACCCTGGGGGCGAGCAGCGTGGCGTTCACAGGAAGCTGGTCCGTTACACTTCAGAAGCACACCTGCGAAGTGTGAAGCCAGTCACATTCCTGCCGTCAGCGTGGGTGTGATCCCAGGACGTCCGCACTGCACTGCCGGCGTGCCCACCGGGAACAGGCAGGCGGTAACTGTCCCCCCCCCCCCACCCCCACCCCCACCGCCTGGAGCAGGTTGGAGGAGTTCCTTCCCAGCGTCACCCCTTCCTAAAGCAAACAGCGGGCCGTTCATGTCCTCCTCTTTCCA